TAGTCTAATACTCACATATGTGTATTGGCACTATAGACTTTGGCAAAGCATGCATTTCGAACTCCAAGCCAGAATACACTGGCATGAAAACAATATTTGGCGGAGGCACAATCTCGAACTCAAAGTAGAATCTACATGGCGCTATTAGTGTGTTGACATACTTTCAAGTTCTCACAAACCGCGTGTCTCGAACTATGGTTGAGAACACAGCAACATACTTATTGCGTCTGGCAGCGCACAAATCTCGAACTCAATTGGGGGTCGGGTGTCGATAAGGATGACATCATCGCTCTCGCCTACGCTTTTCAGATCGGCGTATTCCTATGACAGTGCGTATAGTCGAAGCGATCAGACCGCATACGTGACTCAGCACAGAAGTTCTCAGATTCACGAGAAGTCTCACACACCCACTGATACGTCGACTAGCGGGCCACCACTATCCCAACATAGATTTTGATGGTACTATTCCGTACATACAATCAGCCATTAAGTATACATGAGCGTCAACCCGTGGCTATGGCATGTGTATCTGCAGACTATATATGGATACAGCGTTCTGCCAGCGAATCATTTACATTCATTTACATTGCTCAACAGATCCTGAAAGAACAGACAACGGAGCACAAACAAGACCATGAACCCTAAAAACCGCCCGATACAGCTAAAAACCCTGTTTCACTGTGTCTACCGCAGCCTGTCGCTTAACTCCCTTAACCAGCACGTCTTAGCAAGCTTTGAGTAACTCATCAGACCAGCACGTCTTAGCAAGCTTTGAGTCACCCATCAGACTATGACATACATGCATGTACCTTCGCGAATGGTTGCGCACCCCAGCGACGTCTGTGCGTTCTATTGCACACCTGGCAGTGCTTCTGCGAATTATTCCCATTCCTAAATCCTAAACCCTAAACCGTGAACCCCAAACCCTCTATCGATCTATCTTTTGAGTCGTTGAAGACTCTGGCAGATACCTTTGGTCAGTATTGCCATTGTATACATTTGTTGATATTCAGACAGCCACAGCTTCCCATTGACTTTCATATTCATTATAGTTCTGGGAAATAAATTTGTAAACTTCACCAGAGCTTGATTTCACATATCAACTATCGCCGCATTCTTCAAAATCATGACATATGTCCGTATCCACTAAATATACCTATCAAACTCATACATACGAACATACCTACACCAACTTACACGGATTGCTATGTACGCACATATACATACGCATATATATATATATATATACATACACAAGTACACATACGTATACATACCTGGCATGACAGACGCTGGGATGGGTCAAGGACATGTGTCGCAAGAGGTGTTCTTGCACACGAAGAATCCGTGTCAATCAATTCGCGTAGAGTGGCCTCAGGTCCACATGCTGTGTAGATTAGAACAGCATTCACAATACAATATAGGTTTAGATATAGGTTACGAAATAGGATTGAATATAGGATACAATATAGGTTTAAACACAGATTTGAAAATAGGTTGCAATAAAGATTTAAAGATAGATTCCAAAATAGGTTACAAAATAGGATGTAATATAGGTTCAAATTGAGATTGCAATACAGGTGACAATATAGGTTACAAAATAGGATTAAATATAGGTTACAACACAGGTGACATTATTGGATACAATATAGGTTACGATGTAGTGGTAAAGTATATACTACAGCCAGACAAGCTGATGAGTGTCCATGCGTGGCCGAATACTGCTCCGTATACAAACTATAATCATATTGGAGGTGGCATTGCATAGGTATTCAGAGAGCAAGTAGATATGGATCGTGATTGGTGCGTAGCAAACTGCCCTGGTATGTTAAATCGGCGACGGATTGGGATGTGTGGGTGTATACAGATGGAATGGGATGTGTGTGTGTATACAGATATGTTGATGTGGATGTAGAGGGACAGAAAGAGTGCAAGATAGATTCATCTCGACAGACCGTGGACATGGAAAGCTATTGATAAGATACAACGCATACTTGAAAGCTGCACTCCACTATATGATCGTCTCGGCCCGTCCCTCGGCACACATGCGAATCCTGTACATATGCATAACACACCCATGTCATCTTCATACGCACACCTTTGACCTACCCACTCCTTGAATCAACGGTCTTCACAAACCTATACAACGCACACACCTACACAACGCACATACCTATACAACGCACACACCTATACAACGCACATACCTATACAACGCACACACCTATACAACGCACATACCTATACAACGCACACACCTATACAACGCACATACCAATACAACGCACACACCTATACAACGCACATACCTATACAACGCACATACCTATACAACGCACATACCTATACAACATACATACCTATACAACGCACATATCTATACAACGCACACACCTATACAACGCACATAGCTATACAACGCACACACCTATACAACGCACATAGCTATACAACACACATAGCTATACAACGCACATACCTATACAACGCACACACCTATACAACGCACATACCTATACAACGCACATACCTATACAACGCACATACCTATACAACGCACATAGCTATACAACGTACATAGCTATACAACGCACATACCTATACAACACACACACCTATACAACGCACATACCTATACAACGCACACACCTATACAACGCACATAGCTATACAACGCACATACCTATACAACGCACATAGCTATACAACGCACATAGCAATACAACGCACATACTTATACAACGCACATACCTATACAACGCATATACCTATACAACGCACATACCTATACATCGCACATACCTATACAACGCACATACCTATACAAGTACCACGCACATACCTATACAAGTACCACGCACATACCTATACAAGTACCAAGCACATACCTATACAAGCCTCCGACTTCGATATCTTAATGTTTTGAAACGACGCGGACATTGCATCGAAGAGCACTAGCTTACCGGTATAGGACGCTGTGTGTAGTCAGACATGCGCGCATGGGGTTAGTCCAGCTGGTGGTCTATAGATGTGTCAGCACGGATTGTTAGGCATACAGATGAAACGTATTTGGAACACCTGATGTCTCATTGTCACGGGTTGTGCATGCAAACAGGTATATGGATACGTGCAAATGAGTGCAAAGAGAGTTATATGCAATCATACGCGAAATATATAAAAACAGACATATGATGACATATATGATTGCAAATAGATACATCGGTACTCCTATGTGAACAACAAGAAAGAAGGCATGATTTATGGTGTAGATGTACACGAATAGAAACAAACCGTTATACGCACATGAATCTACAAGTGTATACCTCCTCGTACCTGGCAAGCCTGCTGCTATCTTCGTCACCTCCAACGCTTGTAGACATCCAATGATGCCAGGAACTATGAATTATAGACGTGATTATAAGGTGGAATGGCTGTTGTATTCAAAAACGGATGCATGCAAGCTCTTTTAAGGTCTATGCATCTATATTACTAGGAGTCTATATGCTGGTAAACAGGGTACATTCATTGTCATAGGCGGGTCAGGACAACGAACAGATAGCACAAATAAACATAAACACCACACAAACACACACACACACACACACACACATACACACAGGACAACGAACATCACAAAACAAATACACATACGCTAACACACCCACTTCACCACAAAAAAACACCCAGCCACAATCTAATCTTGAACGAGCCAGAGTCCACATCACAATACAACACCCAGCCACGATTCTCCTGGAATACAAAGGCATCCCGACAGCACTTGATTCTATATATAGCACACTCGCTGCACCACAGATCAACTCTCTGGCACAGTACCAGTCACAGTACCAGCTTTATTTATAACACGCCCACGGCATCATATCAACACTCAATTACGAAACCATCTCGAGTGGGATAGATCATATCGATAGTACACACATCACACAGAATACCCATTCTCATACCTCATACAATTCAATAAGTCTAGTTCTTTAAATAGCACACCCACCACATCACATACCCACTCCCAATACACCGGATTCCGCACAGGACGTGACGGCGTCGGCTACGGGAGCGTTGGGGAAGACACAACGATAACATGGAGACCCTTGGTGATTGTAGGTAGATATCTGGAGTGTAGGTACGAGGTAGGTAGATCAGCGTCAACCCATGGCATGAGTAATAGACGCTCAAGTGACACCTACGGTAACCCATGCATCCGCAGTTACAATGCCTCGGCACTATGTCTGTTCAGCGCCCACTAAAAGCACGTCGCATCGTTTTCATACTACTTGCATGACTCATCCTTTTCGTACTCTATCGGATGTGTCATCATATACCTACCTACTATACGCGTGACTGTATCAACCTACCTGACCATCCAGTCTGACGGCACTAGCCGCCACCAAGGGCTTGCTCAGCAGCACGCAGGCGTCGTTCAGCAGATACCGCGTGTCCACACTGTCAGTCGCGTCCACTATAATGTCATAACTACACAATACAAAGGGAGTGCAAAGGTTGTGTTGGATGAAGGTGTCAAAAGCTAAGCCGATACATCAGCATCCCCCACCACACATGCGAGCGTGTATAAAGAATTCCATGGCATAGCAAGAGACTCACCAAGTACACACTTGCACGAAGATACTACGGTCGGCCTAGCAACGCGAGTAAACGTTTAGGGCGAAACTACCGAAATCAACGAAGCACACGTTTAAAAACGCCAACGAACACAGCGGGAAAGGGGTGTCTGCTCAAAGCGACGTGAGTTTGACGAGGCGAACACATTGAAGTAATAGCCGCAGTCTAGAAGACACAGCGCGTGTTCGCACAGAGTGATTGACCGGTGGCAGCGATACTCAGACAATCTCCCATGAGCAACTGAGGATATGGACAGGAAAAGGTCATACTACCAAAAATAGACTAGGTACTCCACAAACAGTTGCAGGTCATCTCACACAATCGGATGTCTATCAGTTGAGTGGGAGGCTAGGTCAGGCTAGGCTGGGGATTGAAAGGGCACACAGCATGCTCCTATCGGGGCACAGACGGGGTGTGTAGGTGTGACGGTAGTTTACATAGAAGGCAGTAAACCGACTGGTTGAAAACTAGTCGCGCGTGCAACTTTTTTTGTGTAATCAATAACCCAGTCTCTCAGGATTCCGGCTCCAGGGTTTAGGGTTTAGGGTTACGCTAGATGGAGTTTTAGGCGTGTGGACTTACTCAGATATAATAGCCATCGCATTCGTCGCCGTCAACCGCTCGTTCATACCATCGCACCGAATACGATCATTCAATCTGTATGAAAGGAAACATTCGAGTTCATTTGTCGCGCCTAGTTGACATTGAAATACAAGCCAGAGAAGGTTTGTACTAACATGCACATGTTCTCGTATCGATACAATAGGCTTTTGGCTCAGAGTTGACATCCCGATCAAAGTATGTTGGTACATCAATCAATCCAAGGCAGAAGTAAGAGTCATACTCTCGGGTGTTGCATTACCGAGACTTCACGGTTGAAACCATGGACTCACAATAGTGGAATGGTGAATGATGACAGTAGCGCTTCGAGATGTTATTGATTGGACGCCATACACTCGGAATTTTAATACTATAAGTGCCTCGGCCTGGCCCAACTGTGTGAGTTCTTCAGGCGCGTCAATGAACGAGAACGAAACATCTACGCTATACACTCCCAGTGGTGGTCCCTTCCTACCCATATAACATACACGAGGTCAGGATATTGAGTCCCAGAGACAAATGCACCGGCAGCCGGTGGGATTTAAGTTGTAGAATTGACTTGCCAAGTAGACTTAAGCCACTTCCTATAGTATTTAGATATATAATTAAAGCAAATTCATGATAGAACATGGATTGATACGAGATGGTCATCACTAGACGTCCAAATACACCGACAGCCGCCAAGACATGGCCGCAGAATCGGCGCCATTTCATAAACAAACAACACATCGAGTGACATCTGTTCAACAACTGTAATAAACTATGGACAACATACGATTTGCAACACGGCCTCCTTGTTGGCAGGTGAAGGTGCACTGACAGACGATTTGACTCGACCGCAAAACAGGCCACAAATACCACAGAACACGCCAAGTGGTGAACACCAAATTCGGGTCAATCTTATCACAGGACTGAAAACGGGACATAAGTGGTCCATACTGCAATGATGCAGAGCCAACCTCTACGTTCGAGTGTGTCAAGCTTACTGCTGGAGCGCATCTGTAAACCACCCACGCACAACGGTTGCCATGGGGACACCCACAAGACGCCAAGCACACTTACAGCCTGCAGGACTTAACAGCTGAGTCGGTTTTGGGCATGCCCAACCGCTCCATGGAATGTATCACCTGGCGCTGCAGATTGCTCAGCTCCACCACATCGTCGTCCATAATCCCCATGCGCCCTATAGCAAGGGTGTGCATTCAGTACAGGCGCAGGTGAGTGTCCGCACGGGCATTTAGGTGAAAAGAAAGTATGTGTGAGTTGAGCGATCCGTTGAGTCGCACTGTGGTATAGACTAGGCTCCAGGGTATATACAACTTCGCGCTGCAGAATGCTCAGTCCCCCGCCGAACCCTTGGGGCCTATGAGAGCGCGTCTGGGCTCTGTGTAGGTAGACGTGGGTGCAGGGTATTGATTGTGAGTGGTACGTGTATTTGTGGTCAATTGGAATTGGTACGCGCCTAAGTCATGGCATTCCGTCCGGGTGAGGGTGCAACACTGCATGAAGTTGCCTATCCCAACCACTGAGTAGGTAGGGTTTAAGGTGGTAGATAGGTAGGGTTTGGTAAGGTTTAGAGTTTGTTAGAGTTTAGGGTGATAGATAGGTTCAATTTTGTCCTCATCCGCCACACCCTTGCAGCCGACGGGTGACGGTGCACCTTCAATCCACACGACAGTGAGTGAGTGGCCGGGGTGTGAGTGCGAGTTGTATGCGTACTAATGGTCAGTTTGTGGACACCTAAGGATATACTCTACGCCATGTAGCGATTCACTTGACCTTCAAACACCTCTGCTCTCCATGCACCCCAGGGGACCGATGCAAAAGGGGCTCACATTTGGTCAGGGGGATGGTATACAGCCGGGAGATAGGTATGATACAGAGGGCCCGGCTGTAATGGGCAAAGCTGACGCTCGGGTGGATAACCACGGTGTAACTTCATAAACGTGGGCGTGTTTGCGCAGTGTGAGTAGCTAGAAGTGGGTTCTCTTTCAGCTCGATTCCGGTCCAGTGATCGCTATTTCAGTCTTCGTTGCAAACTCTCAACATCAGCAACCTCGACCGATCCAACGTATAAACGCATAATATTAAAAAAGCACACCAGCAGCCTATTCATACTGACATTTGTCCGATAACACACACACGAACAGATATACAGGCACTGCCACCGCCAATACATAGCTGAGAAAGCCGGTATGTGCTGCTAACCTACCGGTACCAGTACTTTACAACCAAGTGTTATAAGAAAAGTCCGGCTTTGACCCCGGTAACAAGTACTGCTACGAGCCTGTGTTGAGCACAATATCCTAATATAGACATCATTCTACCTACCCCATACACAACCAGCTAAGTTCAGTGCAACACAATATTTCGTATCCTTACGGACCGGCAATATACACGAGTACTCTACAAAATAAATACTGAAGCAACCTACCAATACCAACACCGGCCAGGTAAAGCGCAATAGGAGAACCCAGCCCACCGGCACCAACAATGAGCACTGACGAATTGAGTAAATTCCGCTGCCCTAATAGATAAAAGTGTGAGCGTGTGTATGAGTTGTATATATTTACTTATATATATATATATATATATAAATGTATATATATACAAACATATATATATATATATATATATATATATATATATATATATATATATATATATATATATATATTTATATACTCAGTAGCGGTCACAGACAGAAATGTACAGATGCACATCTCAAATACACAACCAACCACACCTGTGGGGCCAATCTCCGGTAAAACTAGTTGGCGACCGTATCTACTGGTATCAGCGGACTCAAGAGTCTTTACTGCTTTGGTCGTAGCTGGTGACATGATTGTGATGAGACCTTGTGTATTGCGTTTGGACTCGAGTCAAGTGTGTTATAACCTGTGATAGGGTTTTCTCCGAAGTTAGCGATGCGAGCCCTCGTACTCAATGTGTGTGCTTGTGGTAAGCAGAAAACTTGTTTATTTGTTTGACTATATGTCGAGTTTGCTAAACGTTGCAGGATAGTCTCTGATATAGCGTTGATAATATCTTGTACTAAACGGGTATGTGTCCGACGACCTCCTTCACAGGCACCTATGGAGTGTTCGTGTGTATTGTGGTTTACTGTGTCAAATTATTGTCACCTGTAGCAGATACTTCTCTAATATTACGATGCACAGCTTCCCTACTTAGCTAATATCCCACTTGGCACGCACCCATGCAGTGTTTATCCGGGATTCAAGCTAGTATATTTGTACAAGAGTATGTGAAGTTGTGAATACATGAATACCTATTTATATGCATATATTTATAAAGAACCAAAGCAACCATTTTAAAATAAAATCGAGTACATAATATCGCATATATATTCTATTGGAATGTCATATGTGCACTATGTCAACGCGACTGTGCATGGCACTGACGGCAGCGCAGTGATGGCACGTCAGACAGGAATGTGACTGCACCACGTGATGACGCCATTTTATGACGTAATCGAATGACGTTATTTAGTTTGGTTCAGTTGTCGCGACAATCGGTCATCAGACTACATTGGTTGTTGACCCCTCGCGTATATTTATTAACGCGTGCGTGTGCGGTGTGCTTGTGTGTGTGCATGCGTGTGTAAAGTGCTTGTGTATGTGTACACACTTAATTTTCTTGATTGCGAGTTCTGTGTACGTATCATATCCTTGTGTTTGTATAAAGACAAGTGTCCATTTATATATACGTATAAATATCTGATGTACTATATTAACCCATATCCCTAAATACGCGTTGAGTGCGCATACACATAATAATGAATACATACTTGCTAAGGATGCTAGCATAACTTTGAAGAAGCTCATCTGAATTAGTTTAATTTAGTGCACCTAAGCGCTAGTGAGCGTGTGTCTCTTTATAGACATGGCCATACACACATTTACACAGCAATATATGTACGAACGCATGTCGTGGAGATAATCGTACTTTTTTCATGAGATCTTCAACGAAACTAATTTCATGCGTACGTCTATATCATTTATATCAATAACAATTGTTCTGCGTATAAAATTGTATATTTTTTATAGATACATACAATCTTCGTACTCCATGTATTACATATCTGCCGGTTTGCGACCTTGTCAACGTGATTATGTGTATACACATGCACTCAGTCATCTAGGCTGTGCAAGCTGTAGTTATCTCCTACAATCTTATTATGGAGTGTTTGTATGTCTTACCAAAGTCTTACACGTGCGTCAATCACCCCCGGCATCAAGCGCTTAACGTATTGTGCCTTCTCCACAATGTCAAGCCGTGCACGCTTGTTTGCGTGTCGTCTGTTCTATATTGGTTCATTATCTCGATGCAATAATCTTTCTCTTTTCTACTTCTCCTCCATCACTTAATAGATACGCCCCATGCGCGGAGAGGCTGTAATTCTTCGATTTTGTACCGACTCCGCTCTTTGTTTTATATTTGTTTTCGTGAACTGAAATCTTCGTATCGGACCAAATGCCTTCAAGAGACTACCACCGTTGTAAGATAACTAGAGCCAGCGCTAAAATAATTGTATTTTTCTATTTGTAATAGATGGTATAAGCATCCGCTCTAGAGCGGTGCTATTTGTAGCTGCGTTTCATTTACTAAACGCGCACATTGTACCTTCCTACCTTGTGCCTACCTTCCAGAAAGAACAAAGATTATACGAGTGCCGCAAACTCAACAGTCAATTTGACGAGCTCCTGAGGTCGAACAGCTTGCTGCCAAAGTTAACCGACCACCAGAGCCGCAGTAGGTGGGTGTGCTGTTCCAACAGAATGTGTCTGTGTGTCGTTGTGGGCTATACTTCCGTTGGTCCCGTGTTCTCTTCGTCAGTATTATTTGTATGCCTGCTCTAGGTGATATGAGTTGGCCAGTGGTCAAGAAGTGAAAGTGGGGTGCTTTGTTCTCTTGGAGCGCTCGCTTATCACTACCCAATACTGTCCGGCTGGTTTTGAAAGTATATTCATATCACGCATTCGTGCTAGAGCTCACCTTTATATGCGTGGCATTTGCCGTCAAGAATCGCAAGAGGTTCTTGGGCCAGTCAATCATAGCAGGTAGTGCACACCGTACATTATTTGCTGTGGAGATGATCGCACACCTTCTCTCGGCTCAGACCAAGCTTACCACCGATTTGATGCACATATCATCAAGTGTGTTTGTTAGGGTACAGTACACTGCTTATACTTCACGAGCATTTGCGAGTGTGTGCATGTATTCGTTGGGAAGCAAGAATGTGTGTGTGTAAGTGGGGGGAGGGGGCGGGGGGGGGAGTTATACTCATCAGGGTGTGTTTGTCAAAAGGACATAACTTTATTTGAATTCCAAATGCTGTATCGGTGTGTGTGGTATGAGCGGATGTAATCGATAGTGACAAATGTGTGCTCATGACCGAATGCATGTTTATTCTTACTGATCGGCCAGTTATCAAGAACAGCTGCATCAAGCGTTGTGCGTAGAAGTTGTTGACGTATCTATGCGCACCTACGGTTATCATCTGTTGAGTTGTGTTATTCCTACCACGCGTGGAGGCTAGCAGTGTTTCTGAGTGGCACAAGGGGTCTATATATAGCATGGGAATAGACTTTAGTCAGTGCTCCAGTACAGCTCTTCTTCCCTTATATCGATATCACAAGAATCTATGTCGTGGTCATAGTCAAAGTATATATATGCTTTACATGTCACACAAGCGTTGGTCTTGTCAAAATCAGCTGGCTCAGCGTTTTTAATACATATTTACACTGATATGATACTTGTAGACTGATATATAATGCAATATAACGCGCATAAGCCTATCGATTCGTGTCCACCTTTTGACTTCGATGCGGATTTCCCTGCAAAATGAAAGGGATCTCTGCTTATCTGGGCATGCCTATGTATGTGAAAACGTAAATATAAATGCAACACGATCGAGCCCAATACTCATTATTGCTGTGTTCATAGTTTCATACATGCTTAAAATTGTGCTTGCGTATGTTGTGGGGGGGGGGGGCTGCTTTGAATGTTGATGACATCTGAACGCCACACTCGCAGGATTTCAAGGACAGAGCGAAACCGACTTCTCGATGTCAAACGGAATGCAATGCAAGCGCAAAGCAGACGGTCACGGAAGATCCTTCGGCTCACTGAGGTATCTTGACTAGCATAACAATTGCCGAGTTTTTGGATATATAATATTTTGCCTAGGTATCCGTGCGTTTAATTCTGATTTGCAAAGCTTTATGTGCGATGTATCAAAGTGACGTACAAGTGGTATTGACGGTCAGTTTCTGTGGTGGCCAAGATGTGGGGCAATTCTCTGTGTGTGTGGGGGTGTTGATTGCATGGATGGATGGATGGTGAATTCCCGAGTGTTAATGTTCGAGTACTATAGCTTAGATAGTACCATACAATGCGTTCATTAATGCGGGGTGCAGTTCTGAGCCTTATCGCGAGGCTTGTGCTAAAAAATAGGTCGAATGGGCTCTGGAAGAGGTGGAGGGTTGCACCCAATTGCGCAGGTGTGATGTGAACCTCCGCCTAACAATACAGACTTGTGCGTGTGCACACTGGGAGTATGTACTTTTCACATACGCGTACTTTAGCAGGCACATGCACATGAGACGCTAACCATACACAATGAGATACGTTTGTCCGAGTACTCTATCCATCGTATATGCCCTTGCAGACGCCATTGCAATGCTTTGTGAGGTGAGCTGAACATACGACACACAACACACCGCCGAGGGGGGTTGTACATACTCACTTCTTTGGTTATATATACCCATAGTATTCGTTGGCCTCGGTATAGCTAGCAGTGTTCGCGCTATCTTCACAGAGAGTGTCTTCTTCATGCGCACATTGCAATCGTCAAGTGTCTGTTGCCTTTCACTATTGAAACCCACTCACATTTTCTGGTCAGTCACAAAGCCATGTTTCGGCTGTCCGATTTTATTCCCGTACATGCATACTCACGAGTTCATATCCTACGTACTTATTCAAAGGCTCGAGATGAAACTGGTGAGGATGCCGAAAGCGAGTCTGTTGATCTGCATGACCTCGATTTCCGTCTCAGCAAGGGCACAGACGGCTCTCTCGCGAGTGGACGAGTGCTTACAGGTGTGTGGCAAACATATGTCTTCGTAACATTACATGGGTGGTGTCATATAACTGACAGGTATGTGATAAGCATATGTCTTCGTAACATTACGTGGGTGGTGTTATATAACTGTCATTGTATGGGAGCTGGATCCACAGGCGCACATTCCTGTGGAAGGATTGGAGTTGTCAATGGGTATATGCCTGCGTCAAGTGGGGACTCACCTTATGCTAACGCTGGTTTATATGTATAGCCTTTGCTTGTCCGTTTTGTGAAGTTCCAGTATGGGCCAGTAGGCGGTGGATACTTCATGTGGTAACGGTACACTTATATCAGGTGCGCATGAATCTCGCATTCTTAATGTATGGTACTTTTCTTTGTAGCCAATCCGCAACTTCTTTGTGCAAGGGAGACAATATCATCACCGAACTATATAGACCGATATGTATAAGAAAGCGGAGGTCGCGCGAACTGAAGCTTACAGTTTTCATAAATGGTAATATGGGCAGCCCCCCGACCGACGTTGATGATAGCAACCTCGCACACATGCAGTATTACATTGACTTCCTGTATACCCAACTACAATGTCTCACGATATAGGAAGCTGGACAACCCAATACACACCTCAAATAAACTGTCACTTGATCCTAAACACGCACAGCCGGAGACACGGCGCTCCTTTCCCTATTGGTCGCCAGTGGACTGTACCCCAACTGTGCCATTGCCGATGCCAACAACCACGTGCGCAAGCAATCGGAATATGTCTTCCACACCAAGGCCAAGCCCATAGTGGCCTTGCACCCGTCCAGTGTATACTATAGCAATACAGAGTTTTTGACCGCTACAACGGTAAATGGAGCCGGATCTATAAATAACACCGGAGTTGACTCATCAGCATCCAATCAAAAGCGAAATGCACCGGATCTCTTCTGCTATGGTAGTTTGATTGAGACGTCCAAACCGTATCTGTGCAATGTCATGAAAATCCCGGCACTACCTACTTTATTGTTGGTGGCCAAGTCCGTGGATACCAATGTGGCCTGTGACCAGCTGCTGATCGATGATTGGCTGTTGATTACGCTTGGGAGCAATAAGAATGCGGTGGATCTACTCTGCGTTGCTCTGGAGCTGCGCAAGTGTTGGGCTCAATTGGTGGCTAAGCGCTTGTCGCACATATTCGCGACAGCGAACGATTCCGAACCTGGGATGAGTGAAAGTATGGACAAACCATCTTCCAACACACGTGAGCATGAGTTTGCCGATAGAAGCAGTCTGGCCTTAAAGCTGCGAGCAATCGGAGCGCCGGGAAGACTAGCAGCTTACTTAGAGGAAGAGGGTAGTATTGGTGTGTCTAAAAATAGCACAGCTGAATCGGTAGGGGAGGGTCTGGTGAAATTTATGCAAACGAAAGTGCGGTACTCGTTAGTACGCGCAAAGCAGTCGGAACTTCCTGGTCTAATGGTCTGGAACGAATTGGCCGGGGATGCGAATGATGGGAATGGTGGGAATAAGACAGATGTTGGCGTATCTAAGAAAGTAGAGACGGCTTCAGCTGACATTGAAAGTGAGGTTATGTCGAATACTGTGACTGTAGAACCGGGATCGTTGGAAGAGAGCGTATCAGGCAGTACAAATACAGGTGCAGCGGAGACGGGAGTATCTGCGGTCGTAGGTATCGTTCCGTGTGTAGATAAAACGAAGGGTGGGGTGGCGATATCGGAGAATATACGGATTGGGAGTTTCAGCGGGGCATCTGGAGATATCGGGTATTGAAGAATAGTGTTTCTGATGATTTTAGAGAGTACAGAGAAAAATTCGTAATTGAACAATGACCTGGAAGCGATATTGGATCAATCAAAACCTCATCACGAATCATTTTCGCGTGGTAGGCGAAGGAAACCATAGTCATTAGACCCGTTAGACGTCAATGCTGGTGAGAGCCTGTGTGAACTAATCGTAGATGCAACAATACATGTGCATGGTACAGAATTTGAACCCACAATATGATCACGAACCGATAGCTCCTAGTTCTGAGGGCCCTAACTATTTCGAAGAGAACGTAAGAAATTTAATTTATCGGTTGTTGAAGACTTCACTAAGCAGACGTGTGGGTGACACAATTCCGAACAATCAAAATATATATGCACTGTGACACCCCGAGGTATATATGTTGGGATTATCTTAGCACTGAAAGGCAGTCCAAGGATGTGATTCGTGGAGAAGCACTCCATATTTCAGTAAAGGCAAATCTTCGGGGTATGACTTAAGCTGAACAGACCCAGTCATAGACATCGTGTATTCGGGGTGTTGATCTACATTTGTATCATGCGTATGGTTGTACTATATAAAAACAACAGAGATAACTTGCCGACCATATCACATGCCACTTTAACTCTGTAAGAACTCGATCCGTACATATTTGTAGACTATCGAGCTGTGCGTGATTGTACTACACGCTGCCATACTACTTTGTTCATTGTCAAATTATTCAGCCACACACAAAACTATCGCCATTGCATTTAAGATCATACACATTTTAAGGGCCGTCGAAAGTACCCATTAAGGACAAATAGGTTCATCAAACATGATACTTTCAGTAGCACTGATATCGACTGTAGGCTTTGACTGCGACGCACGTTCGCCGAAAGATATAAACCCAGTAAATATTGACAGTATCGGTTTGCTATAGAATATATGATGATTTGGTATGGATAAATGCGCACTTGATTACCTGATGATCATAAAGTAAAACTCAATGGTCGATTCAAAAGCGCAAATGTCTCTCTGTTGATATCCTTAACCCTCACTTCTGATCATACTTTCCACAATCCAAATATACTTGGTACTCAGATTGTGTTGGAAAACCGCATAACAAAACTTTATACAAACCTGGAGGCTGGCATAGGGAATCAGGCTCGATCTAACTACTTTGGGATATCGATTTGCCTCTTCTGTGCAGTGTCTTTGGTACAACAGGAAAACATGATATGATACTCAATGCAGCAAATACACAGCTCGTATGTCCTTGATTGACTTTGCACCTTGAGTGACAGGTAACTACCATCAGGTGCTCATCATGGCAATATTGTAGAATTCCTTGGAGAAATATTATATAGTAATTTATGGTTCCAATGTCAGTTAGCATAAGCCGAACTTATATGTGGAAATTATTTGGAGCGATTTTGACATATGTGTCATATGGTCAACTATCTGGATGTGTGTCTCCGATAGAATCCGCGGTAAATGTCAATATTCGTAGGTGATGGACTAGCTCTTATATAT